AAATAATTTTGGAGCAAAGTCTTTTTTTTCTTTATTGATTAAAGTATTACATATGTGTCCTTGCCCACCTCCCCACTTCTGCTCTCACTGCCCTGGTGTCTGTGCCCATTGGTTAGGCTTTTATGCATGCATACAAGTCCTTCGGTTGATCTCTCCCCTTTACCCTCACCTCACCTTCCCTCTGAGGTTTGGCAGTCTGATCGATGCTTCTCTGTCTCTGGATCTGTTTATGTTCATCAGCTTATGTTGTTCATTATATTCCACGAATGAGTGAGATAATGTAATATTTATCTTTCTCTGACTGGCTTATTTCCCTTAGCATAATGTTCTCCAATTCCATTCATGGTGTTATAAATGGTGAGAATCCCCCCCCCCCCCCCCCCCCCCCCCCCCGCAGCAGAGTATTTCATTGTGTATATATGTATATACCATAGTTTTTTAATCCACTCACCTGCTGATGGGCACTTAGGCTATTTCCAAATCTTATTAATAGCTATGATAAATTGTGCTGCTATGAACATAGGGGTGCATATATCCTTTCTGATTGCTGTTTCTAGTTTCTCGGGATATATTCTTAATTAGGATCACAGGGTCAAATGGGAGTTTCATTTTTAGTTTTTTTGTGTGTTTTTTTTTTTGTTTTTTGTTTTTTTTAGGAAACTCCATACTGTTCTCCACAGTGGTTGCATCAGTCTGCATTCCCACCAGAAGTACATAAGGGTTCCTTTTTCTCCACATCCTTGCCAGCACTTATCATTTGTTGATTTGTTGATGATAGCCATTCTGACAGGTGTGGAATGGTACTGCATTGTTGTTTTGAATTTCATCTCTTGGATGATTAGTGACTTTGAGCATATTTTCATATGTCTCTTGGCCTTCCTCGTGTCCTCTTTTGAAAAGTATCTATTTAGGTCCATTGCTCATTTTTTGATTGGGTTGTTTATCTTCTTTTTGTTAAGTTGTATGAGTTCCTTGTCAATGTTGGAGATTAAACCCTTATCAGAGATAACATTGACAAATATGTTCTCCCATGTAGTGGTCTTTCTTATTGTTTTCTTGATGGTTTCTTTTGCTGTGCAGAAGCTTTTTATCTTGATGTAGTCCAATTTGTTTATTCTTTCTTTAGTTTCCATTGCCCCAGGAGCTGTATTGGTAAAGATATTGCTTTGGCATACGTCTGAGATTTTGCTGCCTGTGGATTCCTCTAGTATTGTTATGATTTCCCATCTTACATTTAAGTCCTTTATCCATTTTGAGTTTATTTATTTATTTATTTTTGAATGGTGTAAGTTGGTGGTCTAGTTTCATTTTTTGCATGTATCTGTTCAATTTTCCCAATACCATTTATTGAAGAGACTGTTTCCACTCCATTGTATGCTCTTGCCTCCTTGTCAAATATAATTGAGCATTGTGGTTTGGGTCAATTCCTGGGTTCTCTATCCATTGGTCTACTGGTATATGTCTGTTCTTGTGCCAGTACCAGACTGTTTTGAGAACAGTGGCTTTGTAATATACCTTGATATCTGGTATTGAGATCCCTCCTACTTTGTTCTTCTTTCTCAGGATTGTTGCAGTTACTCAGGGTCTTTTTTCATTCCAGATGAATTTTTGGAGAGTTCATTCTAGGTCTGTGAAATATGCCTTTGGTATTTTAATGGGACGTGCATTAAATCTATAGATTGCTTTGGATAGTATGGACACTTTAATGATGTTGATCCTACCAATCCATGAGCATGGTATGTTCTTCCATCTTTTTATGTCTTCCTATATTTCTTTTTTTCAGTGTCCAGTAGTTTTCTGAGTACAGGTCTTTTACCTCCTTAAGTTTATTTCTAGGTATCTTAATTTTTTTGGTGCGATGGTAAATGGGATTGTTTTTTTTAAATCTCTCTTTCTACAAGTTCACTATTGGTGTATAAAAATGCCATAGATTTCTTGGCATGTCAGTGTCTGGAGCTGTGGAGTGGGAAGACTCAGTTTTTGCTGCTGGGGCCTTGTGCCCTTGGCTGGATTTGTGTGTGCCTCACAGAGGCACCCATGGTCTGTTTGCTAAGGTGGAGCACTCATGCACTCAGAGGTGCCTTTGTACTGAAGCCACATGATCAAGGTGTCTGTGAGCAGGCAGCCAGGAGAGGGGGGAAGTACGAATTTCTACTCCTGGGCCTGTGTGCCCTTGTTTGGATATGAGCACATCCTCAGGGGCTCACAGAGGCACCCAAGATCCGCTTTTGCAGCCTTGGGCTCAGAAGGCCTGTGTGCTGGAAAAGCATGACTGTGGTGTCCAGAGGTCTGCAGCTGTGCAGTGGGAAGACTCAATTTTTGCTGCTGGTGTCTTGAGCCCTTGGTTGGATTCATGCATACCAAGTGACAGCTTACAGAGGTACCCCAGGACTGTTTGCCAGGGTGGTGCACTCAGAGAGGTCCTTGTGCTGAAGCCACATGACGGAGGTGTCTGTGGGCAGGTATCCAGGAAGGGAGAATTCAGAATTTCTACTACTGGAGCAGTGCTCCCTTGTTTGTATAAGAGTGTGCCCAGCAGGGGTTCACAGTGGCACCCAAGAGAAGCCTGTGGAGTGGCGGGCTCAGGAGGCCTATGTACCGGAAAAGTTGTGGTGTCTGGAGGTCTGCAGCTGCAGAGTCGAGAAGTCACTCTTACTGCTTCGGGAGCCATGTATCTCTGGAGGTGGAAGTCCTAGGGTCTGCAAGTCTGTGGGTGGGGCAGCAGGATTCTGGCTGGAGTGGCTGCAGGGTCATGGGCAGTGTCCAAGGCCTGTTTAGGTGGTGGTGCTGATGAGTTCCTAGAAGAGGCTGCTCTCCCCTTTAAGATGGCATGGGCTATGTGCCCGAGCCCCACAGCCTGGGGAGTGCCTGCTGCAGTGGTAGGTGCTCCCTGTGCAGGAGAGTCTAGTCTGCCAGCCTCTGCAATTCCTGCCAGATTTAACTGTCCCTCACTCACACATACACACCACACACATACACACACACCACACACTCTCCTTTCCCACCTCACTCACTCAAACCCTCTCCCTCACCTCCATCCTGCTAGCTGCCATCTTCCTCTTCTCTCTGTATTTCTTTATGTGTATCCAAATTACCATCTGATACTATTTCCTTTCATCCTGGAAAACTTCCTTTAGTATGTTTTATGAGGCTCCTTCCAGCAATGGATTTTCTTCATTCAAATTTATATGGAAATGACATTATTTTACCTGCTGAAGGGAACATTTTTCTAAGCAGCTTCCAGTTTAAGCAAAGGATTAGTGGGAACAAAAGATGTGTCAGTTAGAGTGAAGACCATTACAGACACTGAGATATGGATGGACAGCATGATTGAGGGGTAGGGAAGCAGGTGAATTCTATCTTATATGGCACCCATTGGAATGGCATATGACTTGGTTAGGGTTGTTGGGACAAAGCACCACAAACTGGGTAGCTTGAAAAACAGAAATCAATTGTTTCCTAGTCCAGGTTAGAAGTCCATAACCAAGCTGTCAGCAAGGTTACAGTCATACCTTGGTTCTTAAAAGTCTCCCATCTCAAATAATTCGGTTCTCAACCAAGTTGTTTAAGGGGTGAGGTGGGGGTTGGGAGTGAAGGATGTCTCTGTTAACAAACAGAACTTTAGTTCTTGACCCAACAACCCTTTCATGCTGTTACCTGTATGATCAGGAATGTGTATCTCAGGCAATAAACAAAGTCAGTTTACTGCTAAACTTTGCACTGTTAACATCTTAGGAAATTGTGCTGTGAATATTTTTGTGTTTTTAGCTTTTGTTGCTGCTTATTGTTACTAAATACAACAGTAAGTCACCATAGGTTCTAAGATGGTTAGCAATAGCAGCAAAGTGAAAGGAAAGTTGTGAGAACAATGATAGAACTTAAAAAAAAAAAAAAAGAAATTATTGCAAAGTATGATAAAGGTGTTTGGGTGCCTGATCTGGCTTCCAAGTATGGCATGATGAAATCATCAATTAGCACAATTGTAAAACATAAAGAGGATATCAAGAGTGCTAATGTTGCTAAGGGTATGAAAGTGCTCAAGAAACAATAATCACAGGTAATTGAAGAAGTACAAAAACTATTGTTGATTTGGATAAATGAAAAGCAGTTCACTGGTGTTAGCATTTGGGAGGCAAAGATAAGTGAAAAAATGAAGATGCCACATGCTGATCTTCTGAAAGACATTCCTGGAACAAGTGCTGAAAGTGATTCTCTAGGACTAGAAGGCACTCTGGAACAGATTAATTCAATTTACATCCATTCTAATGGGGGGAAAAAAAGTGGTTCAGTTTTCAAACCAATCACTTCTTGAACAGTCTTCCAGAATGAATTAAGTTTGAGCACTGAGATTTCACAGTATTTCCTTCTGAGCCTGATGCGTGAAGAATCTATTTGTTCCAGGCCCCTCGTTGGGCTTGTAGATGCCTTATTCTGATCTCTGCCTTCAGGTTCATATGGTCTCCTCTGTGTGTGTGTGTGTGTGTGTGTGTGTGTGTGGTCATATATAGGGTGTCCCAAAAATGTATGTACACACTTGGAATAATTATAAAAGCAGTGTTTATTAAAATACATTTCATTTTCAAAATTGAGCTATCAGCTGTTAAAATGTGTATACAATTTTGGGGGATACCCTATATTGCCCTTTTATAAAGATACAAGTCTTACTGGATAAAGTTTCACCATGATGATCTGATTTTATCTTGGTTATCTTATAACAACCCTGTTTCCTAAAATGGTCACATTGTAAAGTACCTGGGGACTACTATGAGACATGCAACGTAAGAATTTGTGTGTACATGAGGATTTGTTAAATCCATAACAAATAGTAAATCTTTTAGAAATCAATGAGTTTGTTACTCTTTGATTTTAAAAAATGTTAAGTTCTATAGGTAAAATGCAGAATGTGGAAGACAAATAACTCAGTTTCTGAAATTCTTTTCAATTTGTGAAAAGTTGGAGGAACGCCTAACATGATGCAATATCCAGAACCTGGGCACTTCACTGGTTCCAAAGAAAAAAAGTCTTTAGGACAACCAAATGGTTGTTCGCTGTTTTAGTGAGACTACTTAGGAAGCAACATTTGATTAAAACAGAGTCGTGGCAAATTCTCATTTCCTTTCCCCTCCATTGCAGGTTCACAACTGTGAATTTCTATATCCTTCAAGCTTTTTGTCTTTTCAAAGTAAACGCTTCTTCCTCATCTTCTTGGCTCCTTTCAATTCTTTCCTCCTTGATTTTCTCAGTCTTCTCTTTACTTCTTTTCCTTTTTTTCTTCTTTTCTTCTTCTTCTCCTTCCATTGGGTTTGTGCTCTTTCTTGTGCAGTGGCTCTTTAGATGCTGCTGATGCTTTCCTTCCGCCAGGGAGATATTGCACAGGTGCAGCCCCACACGTGCCACTGTGCCTCTCTCACGATGCAGTAGTACACAGCGGAGTCTCTCAGAGTGACGTGGGGCACGACCAAGGTACTGGATTTTCTGTCTGTTGCGACGATCAGAGTGAACGTTCCTTTGGTGTCAGTGCCTTTTAAACCATGAATCACATACTCTGGACCCTGGTGGGGAATCTGTCGATACCAATGTATGTACTCACTTCCACTGATTGTGGAGTGGTTACAGGGCAGACGCACAGTTTCTTCTGCAGTACTCTCCATTGCCGCTGGCTGGGTGGACTTAGCATCACCCATAATACCTGAGGGGTTGAGAAACAATGGATTAGCTCTGCAATGTCCAATTTGGGGCATCTAAGGTCAGATTCATAAGGACCCCTGAACTCTCCCCTACATGAGCATTTGTGTGTGTGTCACACAGGACAAGATAAATGTTACTAGTTTTCATTATTGAGCTATCCAGAGCCACTGGTCAAAGATCAATTGTTATATTCTAGATCCTTAGGCTTAATGGACCCTAAACTGCTTACAGTCTTGGAGCTGTGAGATTCAGGGGATCTTCTATGAGAAATTCTTCACAGTGGCATACAGGGGTGGGGGACATCTGGCCTGCGGCCATATAAGGCCAATAAATCATTTGGTCTGGCCCTGTCAAGGCATCAGCAGTGAGTAAAATGAAATGCCTGACCAAATATATCAGGCTCATTTTTAGGTTGGTAATTTTGTATGTCCCACAAATGATGTTATAAATATCCAAATGGCCCTTGGCAGAAAGAAAGCTCCCACTCTTGCTCTAGAGAATCACACAGACACATGGAAACACATAGATGCATCTCCCTCTGAGCATGTGGTAAAGTGCAGTGGGAGAAGTTAAAGCAGCAGAGACCTCACCTTTGTCTTTAGCCATGAAAACCATCCTTTCTCAGACCCAGATCACTTACCCAAAGTTAGGAGGATAGTTATTCCTGTGACTGATCTCATAGTTAAAGCAAAGATTGGGGTTCCAGGCCTCTGAACTCAGCATCTGAGTGTGATGCTAGGTTTGAGGAAGTCCCAACAACAACACAGCAACCACTAGCACAGCCTCAACCAGGAAGCTTTCAAATGGGCGTTCCCCAGGCAGGCATCAGTGAAAGACAGAGCAATCTCTTGATGGCGTTCACCCCACCCTCAGGATTAAGCATGAGTTTTGAAAGAGGGCAAGAATATTTTCCCAATATTTAGTCCTAATTCAGAGGGTTTGCACTGAGATCATTTTCAAGGTTCAAAATCAGAGTCTATGTCTGAGTGAGTCTGACTCAGTAGCATCACCCACAGAGATTAATGATCCCTCATTTGTGATGCATGGCGAAACCCACCATTGAGCTGGTATGAAATGTCCTTTAATCCAAGTTACTTATGTTTAGCCTTGGGCTGTAAGAGAAGAGAATTCCTGTCCATATTCTGAGCCAGATCAAGTGAGTCTCAGGAGTAATAATACATAATCTAACTTCCAAAGTTAGAAAATTTGCCGAAACCGATTTGGCTCAGTGGATAGAGCGTCGGTCTGTGGACTGAGGGGTCCCAGGTTTGATTCCAGTCAAGGGCATGTACCTTGGTTGTGGGCACATCCCCGGTAATGGGTGTGCAGGAGGCAGCTGGTCGATGTTTCTCTCTCATTGACATTTCTACTCTCTATCCTTCTCCCTTCCTCTCTGGAAAAATCAATAAAATATATTTTTTAAAAAGTTAGAAAATTTTCTAATAAACAACAACAACAACAACAAAACACCATAAGCTCAGGTAGAAATCCACTGTGGAAGGCAATATTTGCAACATGTATGACAAAAACAATTTCATTGTTGTCTAATACTGCTGTGCTCAGTCTGACAGGATAAGATACAATCAGAGCCCAGTCTAAGAGCCAGGAGTCTGGTAGTCAGGTCTCCCACATTGGCTCCTGGAACAATGTGTTGAGCATCTTTCTGATGGACATTTTTGGATGCCTCTGGTTTTGATACAGAAACCAATCACTTGCATGGTACTTATTTCTATTCCACTTATCTCCTCTTTAACTGGCATTTTCTCATCTTCATGCTCATGCCTACGGGTAGCATGCATTGAGGACACTAAGGAAAAAAGCATAGAAGGAAGAGAAGACTTAGAAAGGGAAATGAAATGAAGACTTTTGACAAGAGAGGTGGAAATAAATATAAAGGAATTCTTCTGACTATTCTCAAAAGAGGCTATTATTAACAAAATGGGATAGAATAAAATTAAATTATTCATCCTCCTGTGCTACAATAACTAAGCTTCTTATTTTGCTATAGGAACACATATTTGACTCTTTAATGTTAAACTATTAACCACCTCTCTCTTCTCTTCACATGAGGGATCCGCTCTTTGCTCTGCATTTGGGAAAGGGCTCATTCATGTCTTTGGGGCTGACACTCATTCATGAAGTACAAGGAAGGAAAGGGGATGAAAGCAAGTTCTTTCACAATTCAATGATTACCTGTAACTCACACTGCTTTAAGTTTGCTGCTCTAATAGCCCCCTCTGGTGACTGTACAGATGAACTCCTTTACTTAGAACTGGGAATCAAGTCAGTCCGCAATCTTTCAAGGTGTTTTCCTGTCTAAGGATAGGTATCTCCTATATGCTACCACCCTCTAGTGGCAAGGCTCAGTGAAGAGTTTAGTACCACAATAACTATTCTAAAGAATGTTGAATCTTAGAGGGAAGGTAGAAATGGGTGGGAAGAAATTAATCAAATAATTTGTATGAATATATGCATAACTCATGGACACAGACAATAGTGTGGTGAAGGCCTAAGGCAGGACAGGAGTGGGGGCGAAGGAGAGGCTAGCAAATGGGATCAAAAGAGAGGACATATGTAATACTTTCAACAATAAAGCTAAAACAAAAAAAGACTGAATTATTTCAGTCACTTGGGGGTTTTAGAATTATTTTTGTGACCTTTTCCTCATAGAAATTATTTTAAAACCCCCCCTCAATCAAATTTCTTTCCTTTCCTTAGTGTCTTCTTTTTCCATGCTTGACAGCTGTTCTGAGAGCCACATTATTTATTGGTTAGCATAGGATTTGGCAGAGACCAAGCACTTACTAATACTTTATTGGGTGAATTCATTAATTATTTACTGGGAAAATTTATATGGAATGACTCTCAAAATTATTCTAAATAAAAACTTCCAATATTCTGGAAAACAAATGAAACAAAAGTATCCAGTAGTGAAGATAAATGCAAAATTAGACCTGTGGACAAAATTCAAATAGCATTCCAGCTCTCACTCCCCATCTTTCCAAAAAAGAAAAAAAAGAAAAGAAAAATTCACAAATCCAGGACAGGGAGTATGAGAATATGGCAACCTGAGGCATTGTTGTCATGCCAGCTTAAAGCAATAATAGCAATTGAAGGCTGGTGTAAATATATACATGAAAGAAATATTGGGATTGCTAAAAGAAATATGAAAGCTAAGAGTCATTATGTCATCTATTTGTGTAATGTAAATGTCAGACCAACATTACAAGTTTTTATCTAGTGCTCATTACTGCAGGATTCAGATGATATGAACAATCAAGATAGTCCCCAAATAACAATAAACATTGTGGAAATTTTTGTTTTTGTTTGTTTTCATATAATATAAACTTGATATAATTCACATACCAGATAATACATCCACTTAAAGCATACAATTCAATGGTTTTAGTATATTCACAAAATTATGTAATCATCACCACAATCAATTTACAAACACTTCATGACCCCAGAAAGGAACCTGTACCAATGATCAGTCACTCACCATTTCCCTCCATGAAACTCCTTCTAGGCAACTGCTGATCTGCTTTGTCTCTGTCTTAGTCCACTCATGCTGCTATAGCAAATTACTACATATTGGGTAGTTTATAAACAACAGAAATTAATTTCTCATAGTTCTGGGGATGGGAAGTACAAGATCAAAGCACTGGCAGATTTGGTGTCCGGTAAGAGCCTGCTTTCTGGTCCACAGATGGTGCCTTCTTGCTGCGTGTTCACATGGTGGAAAGGGAAAAGGATTTCTTTGGACCCTCTTTATAAGTGCGCCAAATCTAAAAGCATCACTTTCAGATTTAGGACACAACTAATATATTTTGGTGAAACACAAACATTTAGACCATTGGGGGGGGGGGGGCACACACATTTAGATCATAGCAGTCTCTATAGATTTTCTCATTTTGCATATTTCTTATAAATGAAATTACATAATATATAGACTCCTGGGACTGGATTTTCTGATCTAGCACAATGTTTCTGGGCTCATCCATGTTGTAGCATATATGAATACTGCATTACTTTTTATTGCTTAATAATATTCTATTGCATGACTATACCATATTTCACTTAACAATTGATGCACATATGGATTATTTCAACTTTTGGTTATGAACATTTATGGATAAATTTTTGTGTGCATATGTGTTTTCTTTTTAAAAAAATAAGTTTTTATTGATTTTAGAGGGGTGGGGAGAAGAGAGAGAAACATTGATTGGCTGTCCCCTGAAAGCCCCCTACTGAGGATCAAGCCCATGACCTGGGCATGTGCCCTGACCAGGACTCGAGTCAGTGACCTCTTGATGTATGGCACAATGCTCAACCAATTGAGCCACACTGGCCAGGGTGCGCATATGTTTTCATTTCCCTTGGGTATATACAGAGGAGGGGAATTGCTGGGTCATATAATAGCTATGTTTCATGATGTGAAGAACTTTCAGCCATTTTCCGTTGTGGCTGCACCATTTTACACACTCATAAAGTCTAAGGACCTTTATTTCTTTATATTCTCACCAATTCTCTTTATTTTTTTATTTTTTGTCTTTTTAATTAAGCCATGTCAGGGGCTATATTTGAGAAGTGTTATTTTCCTGTGGTTTTCAAGGACAAATGGTGATTGTAACATATACCCTTTACCAAAATGAGGAAGTTTTGTTAGGAATTTATTTCTTTATTATGGGTGAATATTTAATATACAATTATAAATGTATGTAACTATTGAGATAATTAAATGATGTTTTTATTCATGTGGATTACTTTGATTTAAAATGTTGAGTAAACATTACATTAAAGCCATGGTTATAATATTAATACATAATATATTACCTTTTATACATTCTGCCATTTTTTTTACTAATATTTTGTTTAAAAGTTTTGAATTTCTGTTTATTGAGTGAGATTATTTTATATGTAAAAAAATTCTCTATTCAGGTTTTAACATAACAATTATTCTGCCCTCGTAAAATATTCATTTCTTTCTCTCTTTTTTTTGGTATTTATTAAGTTTGGTGCCTCAGTCAAGTTATGTATGACAGATGATGCTGTCATAATTACTTTAAAATCTCAGTGGTTAAAAGAAACAGTTGTTTATTTCTTGCACAAACGTAGTAGTTAATTTTGAATCAAGGTGACCCTCCAGGTCAGCTAGATAATATGTGATGACTAATAATTGAACCTTCATATCAATACAAAATTCAACCATCACCACAACCTGAAAAAGCAGAGATTGAAAGGTAAGTGAAATGATACATGCCATTTCTACCCACATTTCCTTTTGTTGTTGTTGTTGTTAATCCTTACCCAAGGATATATATTTTTTCCCATTGATTTTTTTAGAGAGAATGGAAGGGAGCGGGTCGGGGGGCAGAGAGAGAGAAACATCAATGTGAGACACATGCATTGGCTGCCTCGCACTCCAATCTGGGCCAGAGACTGAGCCAGCAACCAAGGTAGGTGCTGTGACCCTTCAGTCTGAGGGCTGATGCTCTAACCACTGAGCAAAGTTGGCTAGGTCATGGTTTTTTATCCCATGCAAGTCCTATGGCCATGTCAATCTTCAGAAGGTTTGCAATCCTCCCGGGTTGCTGAAAGGAGAGGGAACTGGATACTAGTGAACAGTCATTGTGCATTCCATAGTCAGCCTTTAGACTCACAACTGAGAATTCATTTCCTCTCTTCCTCCCATGCAGAAGCAGGTACTTCTCTGAGAGAGATACCTTAGGATCCCCTTCCAGTGACTCCTTCTGATCGATATCCTATCGTCTTCTTCAGGTCTTGATGTGACTCCTTTGAAGCACTATGAAGAAAGAAATAAACAGAAAACAAACAAAAACATGTAAACTGTTTCCTGCACACACTCAACATACAATTATGAAACAGTTACTGGATTGTGTTGTATGACGTTCTCCTGCTAAGGAGAATGAAGAGAGTCACACAACTTTGGTCTGAAGCAAGTTTGTGACTCCAGGAGGCACTCCTAATGGCATTCCTTACCCTGTTTTGATGAGACTGCTTTCCGCAGGGAGTTCTCTGCTCACTGTTTTTCACATTCCCTGGCTCAGCAGGCCGGGAGAGTCTTCTTCTATTACCTCCTTTAGCCACATGTTAAGGGCTGTCTATGCCTTTCCTAGGGAATAGTTTTCTAAGCCCATTCTCTTCCTGGGTTTGTTAAGCGGAATAATTATTTTGAATCTCTAATGATCATAGTCTGTTTTAGTCAAAGTTGCTTTTGGCCTTACAGAACTTTCAAAAGGTGAGTAACCTTCTTATCTATTTGACTCCAGTAAGAGTCATGTATTTATGTATTAAAAATATATTGAAGCCAGTCTGCCCATGACCACATTTACATAATAGAAGGCTGACCAAGAGGACCTAGACCCTCTTGCTGAGGTCAGTGTTGTTGGACTAATGTTCATCTAACTCCTTCAGTAGCACCACTGTACCTGACCTTTCTCCTTCAGAATAAACAGGCCTCGGGCACTATTGAGAACCCTCTTCTCTTACTGAAACTGGTCAAGATGTGCTGGGAACTTAGTAGCACTTAAAGTTGTCAAACCTTTCAGTCCTTGCAGACACTGGCCACAAGTCATTGTGGTTCCTAGAGTTTCCCAATGAACAGAGGCAACATTTTATTTTGAATATAGAAACTAATCTCAGATTAGAATATGAAAATAACATAAAAACAAATGTATATATTTATAAATTTTGTTTTTAATACACACACACACACACACACACACACACACACACACACACACTAGTGGCCCAGTGCATGGATTTCTTGCACTGGGGAAGGGGGAGGGGTGTCCCTCAGCCTGGCCTGCATCCTCTCCAATCTGGGACCTATGTGGGATTGGGCCTAAACCTGCAGTTGGACAAACCCCTTGCAATGTGGGACTCCTGGCTTCTAACCGTTCACCTGCCTGCTTGCTTGATCTCCCCTAATCACTCTGCCTGCTGGCCTGCTAACCCCCAACTGTACCCCTCACCAGCCTGATCACCCTCAACTGCCCTCCCCTCCTGGCTTGATCATCCATAACCATTTCTGCCTTGGCCCTGCTACCATGGCTTTGTCCAGAAGGACATCTTGAAGGTCTCATGGTCTAATTAGTACATTACTCTTTTATTAATATAGATAGGATATGACATACTGCCATAACTATAACATATCTACCAGTATTACTCTATGAGAATACATACTTCATGCAATAGGAAGTCATCTAATACATTACATTGTATATGTTGTAAGCAATAATATGCACCCTGTAGCAATAATATACACCCTGTGACTTCCCTTCCTGATCTGGGAATGGTTCCCCAGTTCCTTTGAACATTTTCTGGCCCCAATTTTTTTTTTTTAATTTTTTTTTTGTCATTCAGTGTAACTTACTTTACTGTTTATTGCACATGATTTAAGGTCTTTAATTTCTAACCACCAAAGATTCAAAGGACTATTTTTTTCCATGAAGTTTAACATTAACATTAGTGCATTCATGTATTCATGTGTTTTTATTGTAAACATCTGAATTATTCACATTGTCATAGATCCTGAACTCATAAGCGTGGACCATGCACAGGCTGGCAGCAAGCCGGGAAGCCACTCTGAAAGCAAACAGATACTCTGCATAAGGAGAAAAGTATAGCATAACATTTAATGTCCAACCTGAGTCACCTCAGAATGTTATATATATTTTGACTTATTAATTCATATAGTATTGGGAACTCAACTGCTTGGTTGGTTTCAGGAGGATTATTCCTGAAATAATTAAGGAAAGGGGGGGCTCAAACTTTCTTCTTAGTTGCTTGCTCCTCCCCAGTACCTTCATCTTTCTTCTCATCCTCAGCTTCTTGGGCATCTTCTCCTTCACTTTCACCTCCTTCCTCCTCCTTTGCAACCTCAAATTCTTCCTTGGCACCTTCTTCCTTTTCCTTTCCTTCTCCTTCTCCTCCTCTTCAGTTTCTCCTTCAGAAGGGGGTTCATCCTTAGATGCCTTGGCTTTTGCAGCCTCAGTGATCTCCTCCACCTCGATCTGCTCCTCTTGGAGGTGGCTGGTGTATTAAGAAGGGAAGGAGCGAGCGGACATCAAGTAAGAGCTAGTCTGTAAACCACCGTAGGCAGATCACCAAAGACCTGGGAACTCTGGGAGTAGCCGCTGGCTATGCTTCCCACGCTGGTGAAACTGAGCCGGGTCTCCTCACATTCCAAGAGTTTCCTGTAAGCTGCAATGCCAATGTCCAAAACTATCTTCACATTGAGGAGGTGCTGGTATCCTTTTAAATATCATGCCATTTCACTATTTATGGTTCTCAACTCATTTTCTAATTTGTTGATTGTGTCTTGCATAGCACTAAGATACTGCTTATCCTCCAGCTCTTGCAGCTGCTTTCCCAGCACTTACTTCATGGCCCAGCTTGCTTCCATCTCCAGGGTCTTGGCCTTGAGCAGTCGCTGGCCCTCATCACGTAGGTGCTCTTGGCAGCTCTCTCGGTCAGCATGGTGAAACAGCTCTTGTCCCATTCTTCGGCATTCTGCATGTTCTTGGCAGCCAGCTTCTCATACTGGGTGCGGATGTCGGTGAGCATAGTGGAGAGGTGGGACTTGGAGAACACATCCATCTCCATGGAGATCTGAGCATACTGGACATGCACCTTCTTTAGAAAGGCAATTTTGTCCATCAGGCTTTCGATGCCCTTTTCTGGCTCAGCACTGGCAGGAGCCACCTCACCTGCACCTTTGTTCACCTCCATCAGCCAGCCCTCTGCATCCTCATGGCTCAGCACCTCTTCCTGGTAGGTCGCCTGCAGGTTGTTCCCAGCACTTCAGAGCCCCAGTGCCTCCTAACTGTCCACTTCTCTCTCCTATTCAGGGACAGGGCCCAGTGGGGCTAGGCACAGGCATCCCATTTTCACTAAAATGTTCAACTCTGGCCTGCTTCACCGGTGTCCTCAGGTGGTCTGGGGGCTGACAGTGATCCCAGAGACCCTGGCCACCCCTGCCTACAGACCCTGCAGGCGAAGTCAGGCACTGTCCATGCCATCTTCCCGGTCCTAATCCCTGCCTGGACCCCACGGGCAGTGTCAGGCACTGTCCATGCCATTTGCCAGGTCCTGATCACACCCTGGACTCTGCAAGCAGTGTCAGGCGCTGTTTGCTGGAACTGCCTGATCCCGATTGCAGCCTGGACTCCGCAGGTGACATCAGAGGCTGTCCATGCTGCCTTCCTGGTCCTAATTGCCGCCTGGACCCCACAGGCAGCGTCAGGAGCTGTCCATGCCACCATGCTTGGTCCCGATGGCTTCCTGGACCCTGTTGGTTAAGTCAGGCTGCTGCCCAGCCTTCATATGCAAATTTACCTGCCATCTTAGTTGGATTCATTTGCATATCACTCCTGATTGTGGGCATAGCAAAGGTACAGTCAATTAGCATCTTTCTCTTTTATTAGTATAGATATATGTAAATATATAACATAATGGGATGGTTTCTAGTGCTATTCAAATCTGAAAGTCGATAATTCAGGATGAGAATTAGAAAACTACTCCTGATTTTCCTGAAATAAATGGTTTTATTCATCTAACTATTTAGGAACAATTTGAAAAGCACTTGGTGATTTATTTCAACCCAAGTTACAAATATAATACCTGGGAACCCCAGAGAGCAATGCTATTTCATACACTGAGCTCACTATGGGGTTTTTTCTTTCTTTCTTTCTTTCTTTTTTTAATAGAGGGGAACTTTACTTTAGAAGATGTCAGCTGTGCCACCACACACAGTGCTTGCCTTCTTCCTTCCTGTGGTTCATGGTTTCTTCCGAACTTCTGAGCAGGTGGATGTTTTTATGGAGCTCAAAGGTTTTTGTTAACCTTCTACTATCATTTTTATTACTGTGGGAATACAGAGCACAAAAGTATTTTGCTGAGTCTGTCAGTTGTAAGGAAGAGATAGTGAGGCTGATGAAATTTTTTTCCCTTTGAAAGTTCACAAAGTAGCGATCCTGTTTTGCATTTGGGTCAGAATAGTACTGAGAAACAAGGAAAATCATCTCTCCACTAGGAGGCTGTTTGTACCAATACAAAGTATAAGTTATCCAACTGATTTCATATGTGCAGTCCATGGTCACAGCTTCTCCTTCCTGCATTGTCACTGTAGTCTGAGCTTGAGTGACTTTATCAGTCTTGATGAATCCTATAGAAAAAAAAAAAAAGGAGAAAACACAGTTGCTCTTCTGAAATGGCTCAGATGGGTTATTGAAGAATACATTAATTTACAACATAAGAATAAAGGGGGGAAAATCACATAGTGTTTCATTTTCTTGCCTCTATCCCTTTTAACATTCCCACCAGTTACCACTTCCACAGTCCCATCTTAATCTCTAAGAGGAAGCTGAGGCCCCATGTTTGTGGCCACACGTACTGAAGCTAAAGAAGAACATGAATGCCCACAGCAGGCCTGGGCAGAGCATGGAAGAAAGTCTTCTGGCGAAAATTTCTCTTGTTCTCATTTTAGCCCAGGGACCAGCCCTTCTCTGAGTGCCTCAGTGCTGAGTGCCTGTTAGATGTTTCTGCCGCTGAACAGGAAGTAAAGTTCATACGTAGAACATTAGATTTGCTCTATTCAGAGACGGAAACACCTACCCCACCCCAAACCTCTGTATTGCTTAAATGATTTCCTGTAGCAATACATTTGAATATGGCTATTTTATCTGACAAGCTATTATATATGAAGTTTAATTATCTCTTTTGTTATTGAATTCTTGATTAAGACTATTATGATCAAAGACTATATTTTGAGTGATCTAAATAATTTAAAATTGACTAAATCTTGTTTTAATTGATTAAGGCTTCTCATAGAGAAGAGAGTCAACTTTGATACATATTTCATGTGCATTTGAAAAGAGTCTGTATTCTATTTTATTGGGGGGAGGTGAAATGTTATATATATGAAAATTTGATAAAATATTAATTGTGTTAGTCATATTTTTTCTACGTTTCTACTGAGAAAGTGTGTTAATTACTACTCTGATTGTATAATTGTTTATTGATTTTTATATAAATTATCAAATTCTATTGATTAATTCTACTGATTTATCTTTGATGTAATTTAAAGCTATGTTATTAGGTGCATATAGAAATAGTATTGGCCTAGCTTCCTGGTAGATTGTATATGTAATCATTTTGAAATATTGCTCTATATCTCTAGTCATAATTCCTGGTTAAATGCCTACTTTATCCGATATTAGTTTAACTACTAAGCTTTCTTTTGGTTAAGGACTTCAAATGTCTTTTTATCCATATCTAATAGAATTAAATCCTCTTTATCCATATCTAAAAGAATCAAATCCCTACTCCTATCATATTTAAACATTAAGTTGAAATGTATTAATGTTCTTAATATACAAACTAAAACTCTAAGAAGAAAACATAGATACTGTATAAATCTTTTTGATCTTGGTTAGACAATGGTTTAAAAAAAATAAAATCAGGACACAAGACACTGCTTGTGGGGGGGTGGAACAAGTGAAGGCATGTGCTTGGGGGAGGTTAATGGGGAAAAAAAGGAGACATATGTACTACTATTTGTAGTACTTTAAACAATAAATAAAATTAAAAAAAATCAACCCAGCCAGTGTGGCTCAGTAGTTGAGAGTCAATCTATGAACCAGGGGGTCATGGCTCTGGTTGCAGACTTGATGCCCAGAAGGGGACATGCAGGAGACAACCAATCAATGACTCTCTCATCATTGATGTTTCTATCTTGTTCCGTCTCTCATCTTCTCTCTGAAATAAATAAAAAACATATTTAAAAAAACATATTTAAAAAAACATATTTAAAAAACATATTTAAAAAAACATATTTAAAACATAAATAAAATAAAATAAAATAAAAGCACAAATAACTAAATAGAAAATAGATGAGACCATCAAAATAAAAAAAACTCTTCTGCTTCAAAAGATACTATCAGCACACTGAAGAAGTCAAGCCAGAGGAGAGAACAAAGACCCCAGTATTTGCTGCTTCCCACAACCACATAAAAATTACAACTAAAATACAGAATAATCAACATTCAGAACTGTCTGAAATCTGGCTAAATGGAATTCCTACAACTAGCGAGGTAAAGAAGAAAGCACATTGAGACTGGTAGGAGGGGTAGAGATGCAAGACGGGTGGCCCAACATCCATGTGTGGTGTTGTGTGTGTGTTTTCTTAATTGGAAGAGATATCTTGGCTGTGGGGATCTCTCATGAAGAGCAAGTAGTCCTAGCCCACACCAGACCATCAGCCCAGGGTTCCAGAGCTGGGAAGAGAACTCCTCATTCCTTTGAGCTGTAAAAAACATCGGGATTGTTGCTGAGTGACACAGAGGCTGCTGAAGACCCAGGCAGTCCTTCTTAAAGTACTGGTGCACAGACTTGCTTGGACTCACCCATTCTGAGCTCCAGTGTTGGGTCAGTGGCTTCAGGGGGATCCAGAGATATTTGGGGAAGAACTGGATTGTCTGGCATTGGAGCAAGAACTTGAGGGCAGCTTTTTCCCTGACAGGGGTGCTCCCAGGGGCGATTGTTCCTATGCTGAGCCTTCCCCATTGCAGAGCTAACTGGCAGTTTCCATCAGCATGGCTCACAATATTTGCTCCACCCTGTATCTTTCTGTAGCTCCTACCAAATGACCTCAGGTCATGGCTGACTTTGTACCTCCCAGGAGGCCCCAGAGCCAGTGTACCTGCTTAAAAGCTCCAGACCATAACAGATTACAACTCTACTCATCCACCAGGAACACATCAAGGGGCAGACTCAATGAGAACCAAAGCCCTGAAGCAAGTCCTACTCCAAAAGGATGTCTTCTGCAGTAGCAGCTCTTCCACTATAGTCACAGCTGGTCCTCATAGCCAATTGGCTTGGAGGTCAATTGCCCCCATGATTCCAACAGCTATCAAGGCTCAACTACAATAAGAATCTGCACACAGCCTCACACTGGGGCACATATAGAGTGCCCAGCTCAGGTGAATGAGGAGGCTGAGCCACTGGGCCCTGCAGAACTCACTACACAAGGCCACTTTACCAATTTCAGGCGACACAGCAGCTTTACCTAATACATAGAAACAAACACAAGGAAGCAGCCAAAATGCAGAGACAAAGAAACATGTCACAAATGAAAGAACAGAAGAAATCTCCAAAAAAAAGTAATAAATGAAGCAAACAGAATACTAAATACAGAGTTCAAAACAATGGTTATAAGGATGCTCAAGGATCTTAATGAGAGCTAAATGACTTAGTGAGAATTTCCAGGATCTTAGTGAGACTTTCAAGAACCTTAGTGAGAACATCAAAGACATGAAAAAGGACCAGTCAGATATTAAGCACACACTAAGTAAAATAAAACATAATTAACAGGTATTCAACAATACAGTAGAGGATTCTAAGAATCAAATAAACAATTTGGACTATGAAGAAGCAAAAAATACCCAATCAGAAGAGTAAAAAGAAAAACTAATGTAAAAATATGAAGATAGTGTAAGGAGCCACTGGGCCAACTTCAAGTGTACCAACATCTGCATTATGGGGGTGCCAGAAAGAGAAGAGAGAGCAAAATTTAAAAACCTATTTGAAGAAATAATGACAAAAAACTCCCCTTACTTGGTGAAATAGACTTACAAGTCCAGAAGCTCAGAGAATCCCAAACAGAAAGAACCCAAAGAGGCCCACACTAAGACACATCATAATTAAAATGCCAAGAGTTAAAGACAAAAAGAGGATCTTAAAATCAGTTAGAGAAAAGCAGTTACCTACAAAGGAGTGCTCATATAACTGTCTGCTGATTTCTCAACATAAACTTTGCTGGCCAAAAGGGAGTGGCAAGAAATATTCAAAGTGATGAATAGCAAGTACCTACAACCAAGGTTATTCTACCCAGCAAAGTTATCATTCAGAATTGAAGGTCAGATAAAGAGCGTCACAGAAAAAGCTAAAGGAGTTCATCACCACTGAACCAGTATTACGTGAAATGTTGAAGAGTATTCTTTAAGAAAAAGAGAAGGAAGAGGGGGATGGGGGGGAGGAGGAGGAGGAAGAAAAAACAATAAAATGGCAATAAATACATATCTAAAAACAATTGAATTTAAAAATCAAAATAAGTGAACAAGGAACAATATAAATTGATGAATAAAATAGAACCAGGGGCATGGAAACATGGAACATACTGATGAATCTCAGAGGAAAGGAGGACTGGAAGAGATTAACTCAAGAATCTATATGTATATATTCATTACCTATGGACACAGACAATAAGGTAGAGAAGGCCTGGGGTGGGACAAAAACCAGGTGGAGGAATGCAATAGGGAGAAAAGGGGAGACATCTGTAATACTCTCAACAATAAAGATTTTTTTTTTAAAGGAGACAAACCATAGAATGGGAGGAACTATTAGCAAATTGTATATCTTTTTAAGAATTGAGTACCTAAAATATGTAAAGAACTCTTCTACCTCCAAAGTAAAAATATTTATATCCCACAGAAATTTTTTTTTAATATATTTTATTGATTTTGTACAGAGAGGAAGGGAAAGAGATAGAGAGTTAGAAACATCGATGAGAGAGAGTCATCGATCAGTTGCCTCTTGCACACCCCCTACTGGGGATATGCCCGCAACCAAGGTACATGCCCTTGACTGGAATCGAATCCGGGTCCCTTCAGTCCCCAAGCCGATGCTCTATCCATTGAGCTAAACCGGTCCCGGCCCCACAGAAATTTTTAATTGTAACAGCGGTTTCACTAGGCTGCTGGGAACAGTGGGAATATAGGTGAGAAGCCTATTTGGCCTGTGACCTCAGGTCTCCATTGGTTTAAAGCAAAGTTATGAGTTTGCAGCTTTTCTACATTTATATGATAAAGTGCAAGAAAGCAATGCTCTTTAATGTTTTATCTATCCAATTAGGATTGAAGCTGTGTTCATCTTTCATTTTACCTAAAATTGAGGTACTAATGTCAGGAATGCAGGTTTTTGTCAGCATTCTCCCTGAACCACAGAGTCATAGCAAAACACAATATTATTGTAAATCACATGTCATAATTATAATATCTTATTCCTATTCAGTCATAAGGGGAGCAATGTTTTATCTCCTACCGGTTGTATTTTGATTTCTATTGGGCACTAAGCCTTCATTTTTCAAACAACTGATTAAGCCTAAGGAGGGGTTCATGGAACCTCTGATTTATAGCCAGTATGTCAGAAGTTCAAGTAACCACCTGGACATAGTGATTGGCATCCTGAGTTGAAGGGCACTGTTGCAACTTACACTTTGTAGCTGGTGGTTCAGAATGTAACAATGTAGGCTTACGACTGACATCTGAGATGGGATGGGAGGCAGAATTGTAGAATTGAGCCCCAAACCAGTGGGATCTGACATTATCTCCAGGTAGATAATGTCAGAATGGAGCTGAATTATAGGACACCAATTGTTGTCTGAAGAATTACTTGGTATATATGGAAAACTTCTGCCCTATTCCTTCACATACATATTAAAATTAGGTTCAGTAACCCCAAAAGAATTCTT